ATCAGTGGTAATAATAACATCTTTATTAAGTATCAAGCTTGCAAATCGTAAACGGAATTGGATAACAAAGGAGAAAGAAATAATTGTGTACCAAGAAAGAGAAGGGATGGTGAAGGGATTGTCATTTCTTCTGAAATGGGAAAACAATGGGTTGATTTGCTTCATCATAAGTCAAGTATTTAAAGCAGAATATGATTTTTACAGAATCACTAGGAAAGAAAAAGGAAGAGTACTTGAACTTACTTTTGCAAAATCATGACAACGGTTGTCTTGATTTCTTCGAGACCAAAATTCTTGCCAATGCAAATCCTGTAGAATAAAGAAATGATTATTATTGAAAAAATAGAACAAATTACTCTTCAATTCTGTTTGAAGCCAGCGTAAAATCTGTACAATGCAAACGAATTAAAGCGGGACAAAAAAAAAAAAAAAAAAAAAAAAAAAAAAAAAAAGGAAAAGAAATGAAAAAGAATAAGTGAGAAAATGAATGCAATACTTAATATTCAATACCTATTTTCTTGTATACCTGTCATCTTGGGCTTCCAGTTTGGCCTCCACTGCCYTTTTTAATTCCAAAACCTTACGAGTTTTTCTTTTTTCCTAAAAAAATAAATATATATTATTTGCTTTGGAAATAGTTATAGGCAGGAGATAAGGAACACAACGAAACACAAAATCGTACGAAAACAAAGAAAGAATAAACGAAAGGAATGCTGTAGAAAGGAAAGAAAGGAAAGAGAAAAAAGAAAAGGAAGTGGGAGGAAACAAGAAAGGAAATCTCCGTTATRCTTCTTTCCCGCTTTGCAATTGTGCTTCGCTCAAACGACAACTGCAAACGCGAGGGAGCGATAAGACAACGAAGAATAATAAACTTACCTCATCAAGAGCTGCTTGTGCATCGGCTAGTTTCTTTTCTATTGACACAATCTATAAGATATAGAATAACGAAAGTACATTTTACTTCATAGTATCGACTTCTTAGAATCGGTGTCGTATCCGTGTTTTACCAAGACCGTGTTTTTTTCTAGAATTATTATTGGCGTATTCTTTTCTCGCGCAATGTGATTGGTACGTCTGCCGTACTTGGGCAGTGCCGTGACCTTGGCGTGACTGTGTCCGCGCCGTGTTCGTGCTGCGTTCCGGGCATTTGATTGGATGGAGAGTAAATTCTCGAGCAATATCATTGGTCTGGGGTATTCCTTGCCGTGTCACGACCGTTTTCGTGCCGTGAGCTTTTCACAGTCATACTACAACTTCTCTATATGATTATTAACCTCAGCAAGAATAGTTTTTTATCATTATTAATTTTCACTATTACCGCCCGTGAATAGAATCTTATTCATGATAGTGTCATTGAATGGGTGGCAGCATGAGTCTCAGCAAACTTGGTTTGTTCCATACACGTTGCCGTGCCGCGAGCAATGTTCTAGAATGACCATTGTTCTTAAATGACCGTGAAAGATATAGGAACGTACCGTGCCGTGTCAGTACCGTATATTAGTATTGTCCGCATTGGCTCAATAGTGGTTTCACGCGCTGTGATTGGTTTAAAGTATATCGTCATTTTCGTTACATGCCGATTAATCTCATACACCCCAGACCGCCGAGCAATGTAGGCTATAAGAGAAGGTCAAACTTTAACAAAGATTCCATACCATTGTGCCTAGTTTCGTTCTCGCTTTCATTTCCGCTTCCCATAATTCTTTGGCTTCTTCAGCTTCTCGTCCGTTTATAGTCCGGGATAACTCTTCACTCTGTTTTGAAATAAACAAGATTTTAGAAATAGAACAATTGCGGTTTAGTTGAAAATTACACAATTCTTCGTTGGAAAACGAACGAGAAAAAGAAAATCGGCTCAGGTCCCTCTATTAAACACGGCCAAAAATAACGGCGGGGCAGCATATAAAGTATATAGATGATATAGAGGTTTTGCACCATCACGTGCCCACGCCAATAATACAGATTGGGCTGCCTGTGGTTAGATGCAGAACAATAAACTCCCTTTGCTCTCGGGAATTGATTGGATTCTTTCTTATGTAAAACGATTGTATTGTTCCTGACATCTAATATGGCTGCCGTCACGTGGTGGTGCAAAACATAATTCTTATAGAGGCTTTGCACCATCACGTGATGGCAGCCATGACAGGGGCAGGAACAATTGATTCTGGTCTAATCTGAATTACATGAGAAAGGATTCAGTTTCCCAGGGTGGAAAAGACTATTGTTATGCCTCCTGTCATGGCTGCCATCACGTGATGGTACAAAGCCTCTATAGCATAATAGACCTCTCTACTTTGGGCGTTATGCTTTCCCATTTCAGACCACGTGTCATTCTCTTGAGAATATAATTATTTGCTTAAGTCGTATCCATACTTCTGTGTCTCCTCAAGCACAACCATTAAACAAAGAAATGATACTCTAGGGAATGGGACGTGGACTAAAATGGGAAAATATTATGCCCAAGCCGAAACGTCTATTACTGGAAGGTTATTATTTCAAGTAAACACGATATTTTCTCAGTACCTGTATTTTTTCTTCTAATTTTATGTTTTCAGCTTTGACGTTTGTCAAAAGCGCTTCAAGACTGCTTCGTGCCTGAAAAGCAAACAGAAAATTGATAAATGATATTGAAAGAAAAGAGAGAAAAAAGGAAGGTGGGAAAGACAGAGGGAATAAAGAAAGAAAAGAATGGAAGGAAAAAGAAGGAAAATTAGAGAGAAACGAAAGAAAGAAATGAAGGAAGAGAGAAAGAAAGAAGGAACGAAGGAAAGAAAAAAGAGATGAATAGCAAAAATAAAACCAAACGAAGTAACGAAAAAAATGAAAAGAAAAAAATCCAAAAAATAAAAAATAAAAAAACCAAAAAGCCACGAAGGAAAAAAGAAGAGCAGAATAGTAGAAGAAAA